ACATATACATATATACATATTATATACATACATACATACATACATACATACATACATACATACATACATGTATATTACATATATATATATGTATATATATATATACATATGCATATACCTATACATACACATACGACGTACACATTATCATTAACATATATACATATATACAGATACTTTTTCTATATATATATATATGTATGTATATATATATATCAATTGCGATCTAGAACTCGCTGCACAGCCCTAAAGTCGCACGGGCAAGACAATTGCGTGCGACCGCAACGTGGGAGTCGGCCACAGATCAAAACTCGAACATCTCTGATCCTCATCATTCCGGATGACTCCACATTCATCCGAACGAAAACACAGAAGAGATATTCCCAGCGCCCAGAACAGAACTAGGCATCGACCGCCGGAGAGAAAATCTTCGATCGGATCCGACGAGGAAGCCGACACATCTTGGATCAGATCTTCTTGAAGAGGCTCGGATTGCTGGACCTCGACCGCGGCACCATCAATTTCGTGCAGCCGAGGAGACCTGACCGGGGCAGCCTCGATCGAAGCCAGCAGCCGCGCAGGCAGCCCGAGCTTCTCAGTGACGACCGTCGGCGTGGATCCCATTGCACGTGGCCCCTCGGACATTGTTCTTCTGCAAGACCTCGAACCATTGGGTCGGGATCCAGCCCGAGTCCCCAACGACCTCGGACACCTCGTCGGTGTCGAACAAGGGGCCAGCGCCGTACCTTCAAGAACACCCTCCATGCTAGCTTCCCAAACCTTCGGAGAGTGTTGGGTACGAGCAGCACGAACGGATGTTAGTAGGCTGTCACGAAAGTTCATCTTGACTGACAGAAAGAAACTCCGAATGAGGCCGCCGATCTGGCAGCCACCGACGAGAGGAGGCAATATCACCTACGATCGGCATGCCCGACATGATCTGATCAATGAAGTCAACGTCGGCAGAGCCAGCAGAGCGCAGGAGCTCGCGCCAAAGGCAGACGTGGAAGAAAGAGCCCATCACCAATGGCTGATCGTCAGGGACCTCACGCAGGAGCCGGCAAAGGGGGCCATTGACCGGTCGCGAGCACGACGACCCCAATGGTCCAACAAGCTCTGGCGACGAGCGACCACGTCGGCTGGATCAGCGGCAATGGCATTGTAGACCTCGGGTAAGTCCACGTGCAGAGCTGCATCTCTAGTAAAAGGATGAGTGAGCCCCAGAGCGAACTCCACAGCCTCGCCTCGATGCAGCTCCGACTGGCACTGGATCAATCTCTTCATGGATTTCTTCAACTAATATCCGTCCGCTTTCTTACCTGTTTGTCAGCAATTTTGACAGGTGAACTATGAGGTCGTTTCCGATCGAAATCAGAAACTTGAAGAGCTAAGGTCGGGCCCCGCCAGTCGAAATCCGCATGATCCCCGGTGTGAACTTCGGTCGGGAGGAAACCGAGCTGCTAGAATTCATCGAACGTGATACGTTCGACCCGGATTCGACCCCTTTGAGCTGAGTAAGCTGCGATCAACACCCGGTTCCAGTCCATGGCATTGTCGTACGCAAAGCTGTCTTGGCGTCGAACTCGATCATGTTATTCTGGAAGGGAGTGACAGTGATCACTCCCGCGATCTTACGACGATCCACGTCCACGAGAGGATCCTCGATCCAAAGCTCGCCTCCTTCGAAGGAGCTCACCTTGAGGATGACATTCGGGATCTCCTCGTCACCAGAGTCGCGATGGGGTTTCGCCTCTTGGTCGTAGAGGACAGCGAGCGACATGTTCAGGCGACTGCTCCCGAACGCACCTGCTAAGCACCATGATCGCCCAGCCCAGGGCCTCACGTGTTACGCCGATCGAAGGCGAGTAATGTCACAGTGACAGCGCCGCCGCGTTGATCAGCTGCGACGGCGATGCGGCGACCATGGTTCGGGAGCCGATGGATTAGTTGGAGCACTTCGACGGTACGTGGGTGCGTTAAGATGCCTGGCAAGAGTCATACACCTGGCCAGGATCGAACTGGCGACCTTCAGCTTGTGAGGCTGACGTCATAGCCACTAGGTGCTTCTGGCCTGTTCACCAACTGGACCCAGTCCTTTCGTTTCAGATCCATGTGGAGTCTGCGAAACAACCGTACCCAGAAGCATTGCCGCACAAGAACTGCACGAAGCCATTGTGCAGCTGTGGCGAGGACGATGATGCGGCAAAATGCGTGGATATTTCAAGGCGATCTGCGTTAAAAGAAGATCTTCAGCTTTTTGGGATAGCCCCGACTTCACGATAACGTCCGAGCGGGCACGGATCTCGGCCGGCTCGTAGAAAGGCATTATGCCGTAGATGAGGAAATCCCGGGACAGCCTCTCCACGACTTCTTGCGCGGCTCCTTTTTGACGTCTGGGTGAACCTGAACTCTGCGCGATCCTCCTGCGACAGCTCAGGTATCTTGTTCGCCAGGCAGGCTGTCAGCGAAAGGCAGGGCTTCGCTGCTCAGCTCGGCAGAGGCTCGGCACCTGCCAAGGCAACACTCTGCCCCCAATGCCAGCCAGCAGGCCTGGATCTCGACCCAGAGCCAAGAGCCCTTGTTGCTGTGGCCAACATCCAGCATCGACACCATGCATCTGCCTGCCTGATAGCACTCTGTGAGGCAGGGCTCCGGTGCACAGCAGAGCCTGCACCAGCCTTGGAGCGAAGGTCAGGGCTTGCATGCATCGGCAGCACCAACCGGATCCTCTTCCATGCGGGCGCGTCGTGAAGCATACTGAGTCCACAAGGCCTGAGCCGCCTGCCAGACCGCCGCTAGTGACATCACCGACAGTTCCTGTTCAGGGGCGTCGGCCCCGAGCGGGGCAAGGCCCGCTTCCCACAGCTTCTTGATCGTCTCCTTTGCTGACGAGAGGTCCTGTCCGAGCATCGCGAACATCTCGACAGTGAGCAGTCCCTTGTCGGCCGAAAGGCGGCATAGTTCAGAACGGAGACCCTGCTGACCAAATATTATTATCTGTCTGAGGTTCAGCTTGGGAGTGAGATCCTCGCTGGCGTAAACGATGCGGTCGACGATGGCTGCGATGGTTTCCGGGCTGAGCGAACTGCACAGATCTCACACTTCGCGAATCGCGCAAGCCGGGTCAAAGAGGCGGGATCTTGCCTAAATCCTCGCAATCTGTGATCTTATACGTACCCACAAGGTACGTTCCTATGTACATATAGCGCGGTACTTCAGATTAAGATCCTTAGAGGAGGATCCTTCAGGGCGAGCCTTAACCACGTAGGTGAGAGCGTGGTCACCGAAGTCGACAAGGTTGGTGTCGTCAGCCTCGTACTCCGGTGGCGAACGCCACTCTAGGCGGATTCGTTTATTCAGCCGCCTCACATTTCCAAAGAGATTTCTTTACGGTTCTGGGCGTACTTCATTCGCCTGCAGACCGATCTGTTTGTCGGGCTCGTGAGCGTGATCGGCAGAACGAACGCCAAGTGACTTCCTTGATCAGGTCGCCCCAGTCGTGAGCACGTACTTGAGGCCGACCACACTCCTCTGATAAGAGGCCGGCGCTCTCAGAGAAGTTTATCGACTCGGTCCAACTCCTTCATAAAGAAATCCCAATCGTCCATCATGAAGGTGGCCGCTGACCAGCCTGACGTCCTCCATCCAACCTTCGCCTGACATCGCGACCTTCGCGGCTGCGAACCGCGAACCGCGTGCAGTTCTTCTGTGGTTCGACCTTGGTTTGCCAGACGATCCCGTAGAGACCCTCGTCCTTCATGTCGAACGTCTCCGGAACCCCACATGCATGGCGTCGTCGAAACGCAGGGACGAGTAGACTGATCATGATCAAGATCCACCCAGAGAAGAAAGTGATCTCCATCAGTCGGATCCGGCCTTCCATTGGTTGACCAAATACCGCTCGAGCGGGGCCGCGATCTCCAGAAGACCTTCTTCTGCAGGGCCCTGATGCGAGTGTGCTGGAGATCTGGACCCTCCATCCCTATCCTCTTGCAGATCCACTTCACTGCACCATTGACCGAGAGGATCACCGCCGGCCGCATCCCCGGTCGGAGAGTGACCTCCGTGGTTAGCATTCCCCTCCAGGGACCCCAAGAAAACAATTAAACCTAGAGTTAATTCCCTTCCAGGGACCCCAACCCGCAGAAAACAATTAAATCCAGAGTTAATTCCCCTCTAAGGACCCCAAGAAAACAATTAAATCCAGAGTTAATTCCCCTCCAAGGACCCCAAGAAAACAATTAAATCCAGAGTTAATGCCCCTCAACGAGACC